AGAATATCAACTTGATCTATAGCTAGCTCACGTAGATAGCACAACACACAAGAATCGATTGTTTGATGGCCGCAGGCTCCTGTCGAGCCTGTTGACTTTGTATTGATTTTCTCACGGTGGTACTTTTACAAGCAGGGTACACGCATATATATATATATATATATATATATATATATATATATATATATATATATATATATATATATATATATATATATATATATACATATTGAACCTAGCTATCAGCAATTCTACTCGGTTTGCTAATACTGGTCCTACTAGGATATATGCACGTAACCTACTCGTACATGGATTCCTATTCCTACTTGACCACGTGCACGTTCCGCGCACTAAATTGTGTTTAAGTCTAACAATCACCCTCCTAAACACAATGTGGTCGTGTCACGGCTTGGACGTTGATCCTTCTTACAGCTTTGAGGTCAATAAGGGTGGTGCTAGTTGTACTTGGCCATTGTGTTTTCACCATATGTAACCATATCCCCCTTAGTTTGTACTACTCTTATTTTGATGTTGTTTGACACCTTATTCACACTTTTCTTAAGTGAATGATATATTTCATGCGCCTGTACGCACCTCTGTGGCTTGTAGCCACTCAAACCTCTTTTCAAAATAGTATCAACTATGAGTATGGGTGGCCAGTTATCAGCGTTTTTCTTTGTGTGCGTGCGTCTTTTTTGTGCTTTTCCTGCTTCCTGATGTTACAGTGATGTTTATCAAAATATCGAAAGGAGGTTTGATCCTTTATCCCCTATGTATTATCTCCCTCAGTGTTTCTTTTTGCTATTACACATCATAGTTGGTTTTGAAAACAACCTCTCATCCTTTTCAATGTTCTTTCTTTGGAAGAGATCATTAAACTTTTCCAATGGAAGAACAAGGGACTAAAGTTTTGCTGATGAATTTATTTTTTTGTCTTAGATTTATTTATTTTTGCATTCTTTTTGTATACACTAAGTCCCCTTTTTTCTCTACTACATTTTGTATATACTAAGCAAAATCAAATATGTACCATGCATAGGTGCGGTAGAAAATTGCGTAGATGGGTCAGTTTTTCAGTCAACAAACATAAAAAAAATGCAGCTGCCTCTAACACCCAAGAGAACTTCTTTTTGGAGTGGCCCAAGGACATTGGATGGGGGTAGTCCAGCCATGCGGTAAGGTTGGGGTGCGATTTGTGAGAGCAACTAGTTGACGAGCGCACCTTTGGGAGCCTGCCAACACTCACTTGGGGGTGGGCTGAGAGTGTGCCAAGTTGTGTGCTCTCAGCCGCTGCCACGTGTCGCGCTCTAGGTGCTCCCTCGTGATTTTTTTAAACTTCTTGCACGCGTTTTCGGCTTTTAGACGGGTTTCCCCCTTATTTTCGGCTTTTTGGTTTTCCACCGGTCTTTCTTAGCTTTTTGACAAAATAAATTCAAACTTTTTTTATTTTTGCGTGATAATACGTGTTTTTTTCTTCCACGAGCGGCCGTGCGTCTCCCCCGTCAGGCTGTCCTCGGCAGGAACTCGGGACCTCCTCCTGACAGAGCCAAGGCCCTCCGAGGTCCAAGTCGATGTGCGGCGTGCACAGTAATCTCCCCGGCCTACTCTCTCTTCACGTCAATGCTCCTGTGCTTCGACCCTCCCCGACCCCTCCCAGCAAGCAGCAGAGTCTCTCGGGTTCGAGCTCCACCGGGCCGCCGGCGGCGGCGTCCATGTTCATTGGGCGGTAATGCAACGGGGCAACGCACGTCCATGTTTGTTCCTATCCAAATATTACACGGTCGCATAATTCTTCCCTAACTTGCAGATGCTATCCAGGCCACATTATCCTTCCCTAACATGCAGATGCTATCTAAGCATTTGTGTTCTAACAGAAATAAATAACTTTTTTCATTAAATCAATAAGAGCAGCACAAAGTCTAGGTCCCTGTCTCGGTGGCAGACGGAAGGAGGAGAAGGATTGATATGTATGAAAATATTAATATTGAACT